GTCGCACTTTCGGTACTTACCATTGACGTGTCAAGCCATCCAAAAGATTTGTGAAATCTCCTGAAGCAATGAAGTGATACCGAAGTTTGTAAAAACTACCTGTAAACTCTTGTCAAGAAAACCTGTTAATTTTGTAAAGCAATGAAAACGACAACGGGAAATAGCCAATGTGCAAAGCTGCCCCCCCCCCGCCGAAGCCGAACTGCGCCGGATTCCCTGATAGGTGACCCTGTTCCAGGCGTCTTACGTACCCCACACCCTTTCATACTAGGCAGAAAACGCGGGCAAACTTGAGCACGGACTGTGTTGAGGTACGAAACCACGCCCTCGCTATCCGGGGTACGGCGAGTGTACTCAGGGACATGCGCTGTCTTGCCTTGGCTGCGTAAGCCCTCGGTAGGCATGCCTACAGTAAATTTTTCTGCAAATCTCCGACCGATACTCTGAAGATGTGGCCGAGAAATGTGCATAGCAATAAAACACACTTTCTAGATAACCAACCGTTTATGGAAACCCAGTTCGAGAAAAATACGAAACATCACTGTGAAATCTCTTGAAAGTTCTCTTCTCAACCACTGATATTGCTTGAAAACGCGCCTATGCACTTCTTGCCGGTTAAAAGCTCTTGAAATGCATGAATCTTGCAACAATGTTTCGAAAAAAAAAATTCTGAAGGCAACAAAGTCCCATCCTTTAGTATCTGAAGAGTTGGACTATGTATTATCTAAACAAGAGGACAAGTTACCATTCAGAGCCTGGAGAAGGTTTTAGGCAGTGAAGAGCTGTGAAAAATCTTCGAGAAAGTAGGGTCTCTCAATTTTTTTTGTTGAACTTCCGGAATCCCACAGTTGTTGAACATTCCGCCATCATGAGGTCCAAGCGCGGGGCTAGCCAAGGTCCACATGAGAGTTTTTACGCTTTCAAACATGTGTAACGCCAATTATACGACTTGGGTAGGATAGAACGCTTAATTAGTGTGGGTGAAATTCAGCTCTATGGAACGTGCAAGGGCGACGCAGCTTTGCTATGTACTTTCCTTCCTCAGCAGTCGTTAGTTTGATTACATGAGTAAACTCATTTCCGCTGTAATCTCGACGAAGCGAGGGTTTTTTCTAGGGCTAGGGAAGACAACTAGTTGTAAAGGAAATAGTGAACGAGTCCAGTAAAAGGAGCTTCAAGTGGGAATTCATCTGAGGGCTGCTATTCAGGCAGATAAAAAAGTCTGCAGCAATGATTCGTACGACTTCAAGATTTTAAAAACGGTGAAAAAAGACAAAAGGGGCTCGAAATTTAATTTTCGTGCACCATCGCGTTAATTTCCTCTCCCTTTCATGCCTGCTATCTAGACAATACAGGACATTCCATGGTTGAGTGCTGGACCTTGAAAAGCAGAAAGTGGCAAAGAATTGCCAGTGGAGATCGTGGATAAGTTGGGCCCTTTTCTTGCACTTGACTTTGAGCAATGCATGCGCATACACTGGAGAATCAATGAGCACGTGCAAGAGTGACCAGATATTGAAGGAAAGGAGAGAGAGAGAGAGAGAGAGAGAGAGAGAGAGCAAGGAGACCTGTCAAACTGATAAAGTGCCAAAGACGCTTGCTGTGGACGTGCTTAAAAACAAAGGGACGTGGACAGAAGAATCAACTCAAGTCGCTAACACCCTTGTCACTCATTGTCAGGTACGAGTCACAATTGTAGAAAATCCTTCACAAATGCGGTTCCTGCCTACCTTCTACACAGAGGGAGTCCCAACCCTGAGTCAATCTGGGAATGTGCTGTTCAAGCGGTAGCCGCTCAGGCTTTATGAGATACGCCTGTGAATATTCGTTCTTCCGTCGCGAGCCGCCATGTTCATCTATTTATTAATTGATCCCTGAATATTTAAGTGAGAATCAGAAATGTTCCTTTTCTTCTAATAAACCTCAGTCTAATACTTCCCACATGAGAGCCAGACCGTCCACATTTCGATGACCTAATAGGGATGAGCATGGCGCGAAGGATAGATGAAACTGAGGAATTGAAGGGATTGAGACCTTTGCTCTCTAGACTCATTTTTGAATAAAGTTCCTCATTGGTCATCCAGGAAGTAACCACTTTAAGCACTCAAGAGTACCACTCGCATGAGAAGAGGTGCTAATTGCATTTAACAGAAACGCAGGCGTGGCTGCGAGGCCGTGACTGATAATCAAGGACAACCCATCAAGCATAGGCTTGCAACGGCGCTTTGTTTTCTTTTCCAATCAATGGTCCTGTGACGAGCGTAGGCTCAGTTCCACTTTTACTGGTGGAACCTACACTTACTGACAAGTTCGACCTCCTTCTTTTTCTCCCTTGCCACCTAGCGCTAGCCTGTGCAGGGTCTCCTTTTTATAATCTCTCCATATCACTCGCTATCGCTTGCTCACGCCGCCATGTCCACCAATTTTCGGGGATACATGTGCCGCTGTGAATACTACCCGTTTCTCACAACCTAACTACCATTTTTGCCTGTGTTTTTTTTTGAAATTCTGCTGCCATCGGGGACGGGGGGGATAAATCTACCCCTTGACCAGCTACCAGAAAGCGTAGTTATGCCACGCTATCAGCTACAAAGGTAGATATAGTCATTATCCCTGCAAAGGGCGTGTGATGACGCGTGGATTGGCCGGAACAGCCTTTCCCACCAATCGTTGCGGCCTCAGGATGACATCATTGGTGGGAAAGGCCGTCTTGGTAGCGCTCCAGTCCGTGCACCGTCATATAACTCTGCAGGGATCATCTGTTTAGTCCGCGTGAAAAGGAAATAAATCGATTCCTAGTAGTATAAGTACGATTCCTCTGCTCTGTCGTAACTGTAGTCATAGTACTAACCTGTACTAGCACAGTTGAGCTGGAGTATTTGGCCTTAAGGTTTCAGGCGGCGGTCATAAGGTATGTTTACTAGCGATATGAATTGCCTAGGAGGTTCTTGCCGACAACAAAAGCCACATTGACTCATGAATGTTTGCTTTTTCGGTGCACGTACTGCCAACATATGACGCTCAAGCGCTGAACCTAGTCATCGCCTACTTCTTTGCGTTACCTCAGTACAATACTTACAGCTTTGACTGCTTTATCACATGTTTATGACGCTTGTTCATCTTGAAAGTGTCGCAGTGAATTAGAAAAGTGAGTCATACTTTCTTTGATTGGGTTCTGCTCTTGCCAGTTAACTGTCAAACCCTACGAAATCAAAAATTGGGGTAACAATGTTACTGTATAGTCCAAACTAGTACTACTAATTGAGCCTTAACTTATGCACCTAAACTAGCCAAGTACTCTTTTTAGTGTGTCCTTCGTTCCCGTTTAGAACCGATTGTACTATATCTGTAGGATGACCGGTATCTTTTTCTTCATCCAGATTTGTTCCCATCAATTTTTTAAGCGCTCTGGAATGATTCCGGTGCTAAGAAAAAAACACTACAGCATTAATCTTCCGGAAAGCAATTTTTTTTGAAATTGCGCGAAGCGTATGTTGCACACGGCAGACCCCATTAAATGCCGCGCCCCCAGATACCCACGCCCCTTTTTTCCGCAACATGTTCTACACTTACAATACATGCGTTATATACTAACCGCATTTATACTATTTTTTAACCTTTTTCGTCTATTACACATACACATCCCTACTTGTATGTGACGTATTTTTTGTTGAGGTGGCTGAAACTGACATTTACTTACTATGCTATATTATCGTTTCAATCAAACAATACCAGTTAGATCTCTTTCGGTGTGCAATTAGGTTTACTCACTTGCGAACCTATAGTCACGCTTTGTTGTTTACCCACTCCCGTTGCTATTTTTGTAGGTACGTTTGCATGAATCAGGGTCACACGGGAGGTATTACTGTGAACTCTGATGTAGGACCAAGGCACGTCATGGTAATGATGAAAGTTGCCAGGTTATTCAGCATGATCAATCTCCGCCTCCCTTTGAAATGTATCGCCTTCCACGCAGTGGTCCATTGTCATCCACCTTATCATTTACCTCCTCTTCGCCAGTAACTTCTTACAGATAGAAACACCCATTCCATCGAGTAATATCTTTCGTATTTATAAATGTGATCTTTTCCTAGCATCCTGCATTCCAGCAAACCAAATATGACCCCCCCCCGCACAGTTTAATTTTCCAAAGATGGTATACCCTAATGGAACGTATCCGATGGCTGTCCGAAAAAAATCCAATTTCTGATATTGCAGCAGCTGTTTCATTCATTAGAATGTCCTCTTTCTCCCACTGAAATCCTGCATTGATTCTTCTTGTTTTTCTTGGAGTTCTATGCAATTCTAATTCTTCTGCTTTTCGCAGACAAGACGAATGGGCTTCGATTCCAGGCTTCATCAGTCATATTCGAGAATACGACAGGTTTCTGAAGGTTTTTTCAAGCTCACATCCATCTAGGTCATCTCATTACATGCGCGGCCCGCAGGGACTATCTGCTGGCCGGCCCCACCTCGACCGCTTCGGGTCCGGTAATTTGATACCAGGCTGGTCTCCTGGTATGTATACACTTATTCATACTTCTGCAGGCCATCCAAAGTCATTGTATAAGTCAAGTCTCATTCAAATAGCTGCGGCAATTCTGAGTACGGGAAGGACACGTGACGCATCCCCAGATTTTATTTCGGGACAACTGGCCTGACGAAGGTGCTACGCACCGAAATATTGCAAGTTAAGATATATTATAAAAAAACTTTTGAGACTTTCACTGTCTTTTGAGTTTTTTGGAATAAACTTTTGGAGTTTCACATTGTTGTTACACACTCAGCATCCCCAGAGTAGAGCGATCAGCGGAAAGAGTCCTTTTTTTTTACTCTACCTTGATATTTAGACTGTTGACCCTTACTATTTTTCCTTTCGAGCCCTATATCATTTGGAGCGCGAGTGCTCAGAATGCCGTCGTGAATTTAACATCTAGTTCCGCACTCACATAGCGTGTACCACTTTCGCCTCTCGAAAGGGCATATAAAGCGGCCACAGATGCGTGGCTCTTGCACACGCGCACTTTGGCTTACTATTCAGGTCAAGCAGCGCAGCTCCTAAGGCAGCCAGACTTGTCACGCTTGAACGCGCGTTGATTGTCGCGCTATAATCGTCGCTGTCGCGTGTAATTGAACACGCTACAAATAGAGCGCTCCAGTTGTAGCGTACCCCAGCTTCCCTTTATGTTCTTTCTTCCGGTATTCAATCCCTTTTTCACTGTTTCTCATTTCTACCTGATTCTTAGCTCCTCTTTTTCACTTTGACATTGAATTTTAATGTAGTTTTTGATACAGGACACTGTGATAATGATTTTGTATACCGTTTCAGAAAAAAAACTCGTCGTCAAAAACTTGCAAAACTCAAAACATCGTTGAAAACGTCAAAAACTACAGTAGAACTTAATGCCAAAGTGAAAAAGAGGAGCTAAGAATCAGGGAGAGATGGGAAACAATGAAACCAGAAGAAAGAACATAAAGGGAAGCTGGGGTCTGGTACATTGGAGCGCGCTTGTAATTGTAGCGTGTTCAATTACAAGCGACAGCGACAATTGAAGCGCGACAATCAACGCGCGTTCAAGCGCGACAAGTCTGAACGCTGCCCAACCTCGCGGGAGCCGACAAGCTAACATTCTCTGCGACAAGCTTATGAAATCATCCTACGACGCCGCTGACAACAAAATGCACACACGTAATTCACGTTGTCTTGCAGACTGAAAAGAACAAAGTGTGCAAGAGTCACGCGCTGTGGCCGGTTCATGTCGCCCTTTCCAGAGGCGAAAGTGTCACACGCTATGCGAGTGCAGACCTGGATGTTAAATGCGCGCAGGCATTTCGCTATCACTCGATCGCGGAAACTGTCTTTAGCGTCCACGGTGCAGCATCGGTAAGGGTCAAATGGTGGCATCCCCACAGTCTGTACACCACGTAGCCGAATATTCCGAAAATTCGCCATTAAGTCAAGTGGAGGCACTTCTGAACTGTTGGCGGGAATAGTAGTTTTGCCGTGCTCCTAACAGGGAGGGGGAGGGGGTGGAGTTGGTGGCGAAACAGTAAAAACAAACAATTAGAAGAATTTTCATGGGGCTGAATTCGTATATCCCCTCTGCCAGGCGATCCATGCCTTCCCCCTCACCGATAGATTTCGTGCACTTATTCTCTACACTGAAGCGCTGCCACCTTTAGATATGTTTCGTAAGTCGAACAGGAGTGGGCAGAACATGAAAATAACCTCACCATTACTTTTTTCACCATAATTAATGCTTGCATCGCAAAGTGTTCGATCATCCTTCAGTATCTTATCGACTTTGCGGATTAGTTTCCAGTAACCCTGTGACTAATCCTGTAAATATTTATGAAAATGGTATCTTTCTGCAGAATCGCTTGCATATAAAGGCCAATCGATGCAGAGAACTAGCGCCTTTCGTGACAAAGCCCTTGAAATCAGATAGCGGAGGATTTGACTCGTGAAATGAGTGTAGTCCGAAGAGCGATAGCAAGCTTTGCTGTAATGGGTAACTAGTTATTATCTTAGCGTGAGGGAACGTTTATATGCCTTCAAACCTATCGACAAGCGAGATAGAGGGGAAGTGTCTGACAGAACTGAAACTGGAATCGGCGAGGAAATGGTAATTTTACGATCGTGTTGGTGTTTCGTCAACGATTCTCACCACGGTCGTACACTGCATAACAAATTCCAATTGGTAGCGTCCTTGCTTCGCTGCTTTGTGTTAGTCTCACTGTTTCGGTAACTGCACGAAGCACTTCGTGCGTTTTCCTTCATTTCGGACCAAGCATTTCATTTTTCGGGAACAGTATGAGCCTCAGATTCGCCTCAAAACAATTGATTAGTTTCTGCAAGGGGAAACTTTTGCTCCTGCAGAGGGAAACTTTTGCCGGAAAAGGATGCAAACGATGTAAATCTAAATGAGACAGGATGGATGGCGAACAGTGAAAAGGCTGATCAACGTGGATGCGTCATACATAGCACGTGCTTCTGATTGGTCACCACATGCAACTGACCAATCAGATGCACACTTCGCACGCGCTGTCTTATACTCATTTGCTTCTTGTATGTGTTACCGGGACTATTTCCATCTCCATTTGACCAAACCATACTGCTTCAAGGAAATAAGTAAAGGGAGCAGTGACTGAAGTTTGGCTATGGACCACATATACACCTTGTACATGAGAATCGCTGGAGCATTTCATTGAGATTGCAAAGCGTAGATCGACTTTCGAGGATGAGTTGGCATTCAAACTATCTTTTCCTTCATGAGTTCCCTTCATAGAATAGCTCTCTCTAAGATACGAAGGTAGTGCAGTGGCAAGTAGCTCGCTTACACCCTCCAGAGGTCCGATACTGAAATGGCTTCCACCCAGGCAAACCGGACCCTCAGCCCTCGCGGGACCGTGAATTGGTACCAGGTTCGTCTGGGGTCGAGAACACTGACTTGTGCCCCAGCTGACCACTGCAGTTTATTCTATAGGCCATATCGTATTCGAAGTTCACTATGATTCCGAGTGGAAGTATAGCTCCCACCCTGTGGGGTTATAGCGAACATCTGGAAGGTGTGGTCGCGTACTTCCACTGAGCGGAGCGGTGACTGAGTATTAGTAAGTATTTGTGTTTTCGGAGAGTGGCAGCTATGCCATTGCTAGTTGTCTCAAAAGGTAATCACCCACGAAAATGACTACGCCACGGCCGGTGGGAGTAGCGGCCACACCCACCCTGCGGGAGACGGTTGTATAGAATGCCGGCCGCACCTCAGAAAGGATTTGAATAATGGTCAA